CTCTACTACATCCCCAGCCATTCATCTGGGAAACACGGATAGTCGTGCGTTGCTAACACATGACATCATAATATCGAGGGCCTTGGTGTAGGTTCAGCACTAAGGGCAGTGCTTGCAGTAACAGAGTGAGGAATGTCCACTCCCCTTATGAGCCTGGTGCTGGGCTGTAGTTTGCATGATGATTCATGGTACAGTTTAGAACACCGACATCACTTAGGGAGCAAGATCTCAATGGGTGTTTAATGCCAGCCACACTGCTTCACAACTGACTACCATAATAGAATTGCCTTATCTTTGCTGGTGAGACTTCTCTGAGCAGGCCAGTTTCTTCATTCATTCATTCGTTCATTCATTCATTCATTTGGGTATCAGGCATGTCTTCATCTTTCTGTCCCTCTATGTGTGTTTCTTGAGCATTCCCGTGGTTCTATCCTATACCAGTGGCTAACACGAATGAACCTTGAGTGTGTGATAGTCTTCCACTCTATAGATTTATTTCACAAGGGAAACATTTCTGGCTGTGTGGATTTCAGTGTTTCTGAGAAGTTTAAGAGGAAGCAATCAGTTCCTAAAGGAGGACGGCACCTTCCCACGGACAGGAGGCCCAGGATGAACAAAAGAAGAAAGTGAGTCAAGCTTCAGTATGCATTTGTCCCTCCTTCCTGACATAGACACAACCAACCCCATCATGCCCCTGCCTCCATGCCTTGCCTACCATCTCCTATTACACCCTGAGTCAATAGGAATTCTTTTCCCTTTAAGTTGGTTCAGGCCAGGAACTTGACCATCACAAGGGAGCAGTAACTAATACAAGTGAGGAAGAGACATGCCCTGGTGTCAGGAGCTCACCCGTAGGTCATCTGTTACTTCTGAGGGCAGGCCCAGCCTCGCCTAACTCCTGTTCCAGCAGAGAGTAGATCAGGGGAGTGCAGCTTAAAAACACAACACAACAATAAAAATAAAATGGGCTGTCTCCTCTCCCACAGTGAGCTGGAATAAACCCTTCCTTGTTTAAGCTGCTTTTGTTGAAGCACTGGGAAGGTGTGTGACTGATAGGAACACAATAATTGTGCACAGAATGGCCACACTCTTAATGGCTATTAAGAGTGAAAACTTTTGCCATACTTCAAGGTCTCTGTGTACCTTCTCTCAGGCCCAACACTTACCTCTACACAAAAGGCAATCTTGGTCCAAGCCTGGCGGTGCACACCTTCCTGGGGGGCCTAATTCATAGTTTGGGGTATGTTATATGCAGCATATGTGATTTTTTTTGCCAGACACCCCCAAAAAATGTAGCAAGCAAAGTTTACTGTGCCAAAGATCATTAACTTCTGATATCTAAGGTTGTGTAAGCTGAGACTAAAAGTTCCAAAGAGGAGCAAAGTGCATCATAAACTCCGTTTTGGAGTAGATTGACCACTGGGGTACTTTCTTTATTCCTTGGCGCCCCCTAGAAGACATGTTAGTCCTGCCCGCACATGTAATCTTGTCATGCACACATTTTGCATGTTGTCTTTTTATTTTATGGTGTGTCTTAGACATCTTTCCAGACCAGTGTGTGTGTTTGTGTGTGTGTATGTGTGTGTGTTCCCATGTGTCTCTGTCTGTGAGCTCAGGGTAAGTGTCCCATGACAGGGGTGTGGAGATCAGAGGACATGGTCTCCTGTCTTGAACATTGAACATCTGGAGATAACCCCATCTTCTTCCATCTTGTAGGAGTGCTAGGGTTCCAGGTAAACATTACCCTGTGCTCCTATGCATAGCTCGCGAGGGTCAGAACTGGGATCTCCAGGCTTCAGTGGCAAGTGCTCTTACCCATAACTTGGTCTCCACAGCCTAGACTCTCTTTGGGACTTTCTGCTTTACATAAGCATTTGTCTTAAGCCGTAGGACAGTCACAAGTACTGGCTATGGACCTCCAAAGACAGGTCCCTGAAGCCAGGCCTGACGAGGGCGGCTGGTTATTGATCTCCTCAGGACTCTCCCCACACTTCCGTCACCATTCTCCTCCTCTATGTTCTAGCAAAGCTGTTGCATGGCTGTTGTGCCTTCTGAGGAGGAAGACAGCACACTTTAGGGTCTGAGATCCACTCCTTACGGGTCTGAGATCCACTCACAAATGACAAGGTGGGTGAGGGGTTCTTCTGCAGACTGCTGAAGGTCGGTGTGGGTCATAGCTGACCTTACAGAGACCCTATTTGTTCTTTTCTCCTTGGGAGTCTCATGCTGAAACCAATTCAAATCATTATGACAAAAGCCAAAGGCCACCAGCATTGTACCTCAGCCAGGGATCTGACCCCTGGGTACCCGTGCATTCCTAACATGCCCCATGCACTCTGGTAGGGACAGCGCTCCAGGAGGGCTGTGTTGCTTTGCTGGGCTGTGCAGTCTGCTTACTAAATTGCAAACATCATAGTCTCTAGGAAATTTGTCATTGAATTGTTACACGGAGAGTTCAGCAGTGATCAAAGCATAGATAGCATTGTGATGCTTCCTCTTGGGGTCAGCAGGGCCTGACTTGGAGTCACCTGGGAGACACACCCCTGATTGTGTCTGTGAGAGCATTTAAGAGATGGTGACTTGAAGGGAGGAGATCCATTCTGAATGTGGGGAGCACTACCTGTGGACTGGGTCTCAGACAAAACAAGCTTTGCTTTTCAAGGAGAAAAACCAAGGAACACAAGTATGTGGGTATCTCTGTTCCCCGACTGTGGACATGCATGGTGGGACTGACCAACTGCTGTGCCGTCTGTGCTAGGATGGGCTGTCTCCTCTCCCACCGTGAGCTGGAATAAACCCTTCCTTGTTTAAGCTGCTTTTGTTGAAGCACTGGGAAGGTGTGTGACTGATAGGAACACAATAATTGTGCACAGAATGGCCACACTCTTAATGGCTATTAAGAGTGAGAACTTTTGCCATACTTCAAGGTCTCTGTGTACCTTCTCTCAGGCCCAACACTTACCTCTACACAAAAGGCAATCTTGGTCCAAGCCTGGCGGTGCACACCTTTAATCCTAGCACTCAGGAGGTAGAAGCAGGTGGTTCTCTATAAGCTTGAGGCCAGCCTGGTCCAGAGCTGTATAATAAGATGTTGTCTTAAAAACAAATACAACAAAAGCTCACCCCCCCCACACACAACCCAGAGATAAGCTTGGCTTGCTTCTTCAAGTCATGCTCCAGCTAAGTCTAATTTTATGGATTTACTCATAGTTCATCGTCTTTCTATCTAGTTTCTTCCACTCTGTGCTTTATTTATTTTTTTTTTTGTATTTACCCATCTTTTTTTCAGTTTGCTCTTCCCTTTAGCTACAAAGGCCCCACTGCCTGCGCAGTGCAATTCACTAATCATTCTATTATAACCAAGAATAGGTATTTTGGGGTATCTTGCTATTACCCTGAAGATGTTCTTCCATACCCTTTATCTGAAGAGACGCGGATTCGTGGTGGATATGGGAGACGGCTGATGGACTCCCTGGCTGCTAAGGGTCACATATGTCCATCTCACTGCACAGAAAATTCTCGTTGTGTTTGGCCTTAGGGTTGATGAAGGGTCCTGGCCGTTCCACATCCTCCCTCCTGTTTGGTAGTGTCGTTGTTAAACTTTCTGTTTCTTTTGGTTGTGTATTAATTTCCTGCTTCCAGATGCCTGCTGCTGTTAAGCACATTTTGAAATGCCTGCTTGAGAGTTGGGTAATATCTTTGGTGGTGCGTCTGTTCAAAAAGCCTTGCCAGTTTTGCTTTCATGATTTATTGGCTTGTTGAACTTTTTAACTTCAACTAATTACTGTTTATGCATGCATGTGTGTTTACAGAGGTGGGAGCCTACCATGTGCTTGCAGAGGTGGGAGGGCGACTTTCAGCTTTGGTTTCCTCCTTCCTTCCGCTGTGGGATCCTGGGACTGAACTAGGGTCATCAGGCTTGCAACCATGCAGTGGCCATTTCTTCCAAGCAAGCGTGCTGGTTAGCATTTTGCATTTCATGGGTCCGATGTGTGGGAAATGTCTTCCTTTGATTTATTTTTCTTTTCTGCCATCATGATGGGCCTCGTATTTGTCATGACAATAAAAAAGATTTACTAATCTAAACACAACATTTTGTCCCAGAGAGGACCCACCTGCAAGGATCTCTCTGATATGGGGGCTTTAAAATAAAGGGAATAGAATGTAAAAGATGAGAATGACTCTAGTTTCTTGAAGTTTTATCTCCACCAATCTCGTCTGTCTGTCTATCTTCTCTGTCTCTCTCTGTGTATGCATGTGAGTGTGCACATGTATGTTCATGTGTGACCTTGCTGTACTATAGCAGTCTAAAGTCATCTTTCCTTGGTGATCCAATGAATAGACACATCTCTCAATGGCACTTTCAACAGGGGTTGGGGCTGGGGAAGTAAGTGCCCAGGAGAGGTGCTTGTCAATCAACACTGTTTGATGGCTACAGCTAAGTCTTCCTAAATCCCTCGTCCAGACCTGGAACTGGGAACAGGCCATTCTGTGTGGACCACTGCTACAGAGGTCAGCATCTTTTGGGTTTGCCTCACTCTGGTAAAGTGGACTGCAGATACCTCTTACTTCTGCCGAGGGAGTGTAGTTACGACAGTGGCCAGAGCCAGGACCCTGCTGTCTCAGAGAGAGTCCAGAAGAGTGGATTCAGCTCTGAGGCCTGTACTGCTAGCCAAGTATCAAGCAGTGGTACCCTTCACACTGATGGCTGCAGGAAGGGCTCGGGGGCAACCTTCCCTGGCCAGCGGCATGGGTACCCTTATGAAATCATCAGTTTGGATTGCTGGGCTCCCAGACATTTTCTTGTATGTTAGGCTGGAGCTTTTTCTCCAGCGGCTTGGCTCCATGCAGCCCTGCTGCAGAGTAGGTTGTCTTGGGTCAACAATATCCATATCTTGGTTGAGTTTTAATGTGAACTCGCCTCCAGCGAGCTCACGATGGAAAAGTGCATAGCAACTGTGACACCCCAAAGAGTGACTAGCGCAGCATCTTAGGTCATGCACAGAACATTTTATTACAACAAACATGTTACCGCATACAGTAAAATCCTACAGAAGAATACATATACATATACCCCCAATACTAAAGCTCATCTGAATACACTCAGATGATATGTGATCACCCGCATCATTGTTCTTTGGCTTAAAAAGAGCTTATTAAACAATATCAGTTCATCAAGAGGGTAGGACACGAGCTGAATTATTGCTGGAAGGAACCAAGTGCTCCTGGGTTTGATGGTTTGGCTATTTATCTATGCAATAATTAGACCCCAAAATCCAATTCAATTCAAACCTGAGCCCATTTTTCCCACATTGTTTAGCCAGATAGCATCCTACAGTTTCCAGCATAAAAATGAACAGCCCATGATTTTATTATTTAACACTATATAACAGAGACACTGGGGGCTTTAAAATCAGTGTGGGGGTGTCCTACCCTCCAAAGTTCTTCAGCAAATCGCCTTTCCCAGCATCGCCACCCTGAGTCAATCGGTCATCTGACACCACTGTCTGCAACATTTAGCAAATGTCAACTAAATGACGCTCTGCTTTCCTGGTGAAGAGAGTGTGCTTCACAAACAAACACCCAGATTTAAAACTGAGAAAGGAAACCAATTTCATGATATAATCCGAACTTAATTTTTACTGTGATGATAGAATATCACAATTATTCACTTGAAGAAGGGTTATTTTTGAGTATTTTAAGCCTAGAGGTCTGACTCACCCAACCTGTGCATACACAGAGGGTCAGGAGTAGGAGGGACAGCTTGGGGTGCATTTCGGATGGCTCACGTCCCAAGTGTACGCTGCTCTTGTGCTTTCTTAGGGGAAGAAGCCATGCAGGTTCACTCAACTAGAAGAAAATGAACTCCAAGTCAGAAGATGGGGCTTCAGCTCCAATTTGTTTCTTGTCACATGATCAAGCGGGCATCTGCCCCTGTCGTTTGGGCTTTCCCAGGTAAACTGAGTACACAGGACTTAACTAAAAAAATATCAAAATCTGCAGGAAAAACGTGACTCAGTTTTCTCTCTAAAATACCTTGATAGGAGTTGGGGATATACAAATGTAACCCCTAGAATGGGGGAAGTTAGGGCAGGGAGAGCATGGTTTCCAGGATAGCCTGGGCTACATAGTTATACCCAACGTCAAGGGAAAAAAAGGCAGTCACTAAGCACACAAACAAACAAAACAGGAAATACAGAGCTCCTGACCTATTTTGGGTGAGACAAAGTGTTTTTGTTGAATTATGATGACCTTACTGAAGTATAAACATCTTTTGTGAGAAAATACATACAAATCCAGTTCCTTATCAAATTCTTAGTACTTATCCAAACACACACACACTGAAGGAACAGAACCAAAATTCACCAAGTTCTAAAAGTAAACTCTGAAGCAATATTTCTGAGATGCCTAATGAAGTCCGACATCTCAGTGCCCTCTAGCGGCAGCAGAAGAATTTCAGGGACGTTAAAATTCATTGGCAACAGAAAACTTGCAACTATTTTTGCTCTTTGATAGGGAATTGTTATTTTGCAAACGGTGAGATGCAGCTCTGGTCTGGCAAGCATCACGCGATGCTTCCACAGGAAGAGTATTTGACCTGTTCTCATCGTCTTTTCTGCCTTTTTGTTTCAGAGAAGCATCTGGTTCATCTCACGTTGACCTAGACTGGGTCTCATTCAGGCTTTCTTGGGAAATATTCCATGGAGTCACAAGCACTTTTATACCAAGCTGACCACACTCCATACTCCCGACAGAGTCCTTCCTGGCCTTGCTTCCATGACTTTTACGGAATGCGCCAACACAGCCGTTGCTGCTTTTCCAGACTTAGAGGATGACCTTCTACTCTTCCTATACTTCTGAGTAAAAAGTCCAACATTCCAAAGCAGAAGAGCCTTTAAATAGTCACCGGAGGACGTATTTTGTGATGTTTCCTGGTGAATAAAACTGGCATATTTAGTAGAAAATAACTCACCTTCTCAAGTAAGGAGGAGGAGAAAGGAAACAAGGGATTCACAGTAAAATTCCACAAAAATTCAAACACAAGTTAAATACGTTGGTCTTTGGGACGAGTGCACCTCGCTCTTCTGGGAACTGAACTCTATCCCTGCACACAGGCAGATTATCTGTTTTATAAGCTATCATTGCGTGGTTTTACCCCTTTCTTCTTAGTTCAGTCAAACTAAAACAGACATACAGTCCACATTCTCAGTAACGATAATCCACAGACAGCCAGAGGATATACAACCGAGAATCATGTTTTCATCTCTGGATAGAGAGCGAGAACCTCGGGTGGTGGACAGCTTCACGTGGAGATTCGCATAGCTGGTCAGACTATCCTTCTTGTCTCGGGTTCACCAGTCCAGCTTCAGGTCAGCCTTGCTCCATACATACTTGCCTCCCCGCTTCAGGAACATCTTCTCATCAAATCCACTGAACTTTATCGCTTCTTCCACCCCGACATCTAGGATGGACTTGGAAGGGTCCTTCCGGCCACCAGTACAGTTCAGGAAGCGCATCTGAGAAATACAAGGTAGAAATAAGTATGTTGCAATATGGTTTATCCTGTGAGACTCAACTAAAACTATCATTTCAAGAGTCCACATTCCAATCGTGTCACATGGGCACTGAGATCTAAGATAGACTCTAAAATCCTCAGACTCCACCCCCAACACAGACAGCTCACACTCGTGGAGAGGGTGGCAACCGGGAGTAATGAACAGTATGGTTTAACCACCCGAGGACTCGGCCCTCTCTCGAGACTAACTGGATTTGTTTAGATATCATTCCCTAGGGTAAAGGAGAACATAGAGAACAGCAGTATGGGCACTGTGCTCTGAGGAAGCTGAGCTGAATGTCCTCAGTGAGACGGCCACTGTGCTTGTGTGGTGTGAATTCCTGACAGAGGCTTCTCCTGAGGGGATAAGACAGAGGCTACTGAGGTGGGAAAGAGCCGGGTCCAGGACAGAAGGTCCCCAACACATACTATCCGTTTGTCTTTCTCTGTCTCTTTCCTTTTCACCCTTGCAGGCAGGAATGAGGGCTTCGAGCTTGTGTGTGTCTACACTGAACATCCTGGAGAGCATCGGATGGTGCACACAGAATCACTAAGTTAGTTGTTCAGTTGACAAAAGCAAACATTGGGTTGTCAGTGTTTGTTACAACTCTGTGGGAACCTGTCAGACAGCTTATTGGGGAATATTGCTAAAAATCTCCAGTCAATCATGACAATTTGTTCTCCAAAACATCTTCCTTTCTTCCTTTTTTTTAACCGTAGATCTATAAACTGGACATTTCTATGGTTACTTTCTCTCTTAGGTTGTATAAAATTCAAGTTGGCAATAAATAAACAAAATTGATGCACTCTCTCATTGATTAACTTGAAAATAACAAAACACAAAAGCTGTAACAAATATTTCTCAAAATGCCAAGGTCAATACTGAGCCCTTGTTTCTTTTTGTTGCTCATTTCAAATACATGGCCTGGCATGGAGTCGTCTGTCCTCTGCTGGGAATATCAGCAGAGGCCATAAATCTAAAGATCTAAATAACAACAACAAAGAAAAGGAAAGCAAGCGTGGTTTCTTTCTTATTTTAATAAGGGCGGGTTTTCCTTTGGAAGCAATGGCCTCAGAGATAATGTTGGTGGTGTCTGAAGGGGACAAAAGATTTCCTCCCATTGTCCAAGTTCATCTGTGTTAGAGGTGCTGCAGCCCCTCTGTTATTCAAGACAGGGTGGAGTGCAGGGGACGGGGTGCTGCCGCAGTGCAACCCTTGAGCCCATGCGAGACCACCCACTAGAGAGATCTACTGTGATGTCCTTATGACATCTGCAGATGTATGGCTACTTGGGATGTCATCTCATGGTGGCTCACCCCAATCCAGGTCTAGGATAATGTCCTGGGTTGATTTGGGAGAGAGCTTGGCATGTGAATCCAGGGCTGTACCATGCTGGTAATAAAACCACCAGAGCGGCACCGGACATAATAGTATCCTGAATGTGTTCATTTGGGCACACCTCTGGCATGTCTGAGCTGCCTGCTTGTCTATGAATTTATAGCTCGTGGGGGGATACTCACATATTCATCCAGAATAAGGTAGGAGTCTTTCATCTGCAGAGAAAAACAGAATCAAACTTTAGTTTTCATCCAACATAGATTGTTTACCTTTTATGCCCTATTGGCTGTTTTTCCTTTGGTGTGTGTGTGCACGCGTGCGTGCGTGCGTGCGTGCGTGTGGCAGGCAGACAGGCTACGGCCCTTAGCAGTGGAGGGTCTGCAAGGGCCCGTCCATCCAGTCATTCTGGATTTTTCTGACTCAGACCAAAAGAATTTTACCCTGAAGGCTGCTTTAAGCAGCCCAGCTTTCCCACCTCTCCAGCCGGTTCCAGAATTGCTGTCTTCATCTCTCAGTCCCCAACACAGTGACTACCATTCAAGGAATGTCCACAGTTTTTAATGTCCAAGTGAGGCTCTTGGCGGAGGACATTGTTTCTGAAGCTCCTAATGTTGCTGTGACCTGATGTGGGACAGTTTTGTGTTCTCGGGTGTACTGGACACTGCTGTTACTCTCTGTAGGGAGATTCCGACACTCTTTCCTCCCTCTAATAAGAGCTAGGCAGTAAATTTTATTTTTCCCTTTCTTCCCACTTCCCTCCTTCCTTCCTCACTTTCCTTCCTTTCCTCTTCCCTTCTTCCTTCTCTCCTCCTCCTCCATGCCTGCCTGCCTTTTTGACAAGGCATCAGGTAGCCTAGGCTGACCTCAAACTCACTACATGGCCAAGGGCGTCCCTGAGTTTTGGGTTCTCCTGCTGCCACCTCTTGAATGCTAGATTATAAACTTGCAGTGAGTGTTTTAAGCTATCCTGGGGAATCGAACCCAGAGCTTGCAGCATGCTAGGTAGGGATTCTCCCAAGTCAGACACGTTTTTAGACCAGTTAATATTCCGTGCACACAGAACACAGTCTGTGTCCTTGTTAATCAGCTCTGGACCACACTGTAGAAGCCACCTCCACCATCACCATCAAAACAAGAAAACAAATTTTGGTGCAAATAAATTCATAAAAGAATGGAGTGCAACTCTACTGCCTGGTAATTTTAGATATAGGCTCTCAAAATTGGAAAACCATTTCTTCTACATTTTATCCAGCTTTGAAAATACTCACTAGAGAGGGTGTAAGGGACAGTCGTAATGACGCTAACACCAACATGGAGCACACCTCCTTCAGTGTGTCAGCCCTGCCCACATGCTTCCCAACATGTAGCTGTGTGTGTATTTCATAATAGAGTTATAAATATATGTATTCATTTAATTGATCTGTGAGGTGGCCTAGTCAAACCCATTCTTAGACAAAAAAAAAAAAAAACAGTATCGTTGAAGAACCCCAGTCCCAGATGACAGGTAACCATACTCCATCTCCTTGACTCTAGGATTGATTACACACCTCCCCTTTCTCCTTCCAGAACATCTAGAATAACAAGATGGCAAATTGCAAAGCTCTCAGCACTGTAGTTATGTGGTAGTAAACACGGCAGCTTTTGCTGCATACAAACCTTCTGGTTAGATTCCGGCACCAAACAGGACACCTCTTGGTGACGCTCTAAGAATGCTTCAAATTCTTCATTGCTTATAAGAAATCGTTCTGCTTCCCTCAGGGCAGCTTCTCCAGAGTTCTCACCCTCAATTAGGAGGCACTGGAAGACCTGGGAGAAGATAAAGCATCTGTTAGACGAGGAGCCTCACAATACCATTCTCTCCAAGCCTCCGGGGAGCAGACCCTACCCAGTTCAGTACTAGCAAGCTCAGAATACAATTGATAGTCACCGCTAAGTCTGTGAACATTTAGACTATGAGGATCCGAGCCACAAGGGATGGAGCTAACGAAGTTCAGACGCTTTCCTTTGGAGCATTGCTAATTTTGGTCAAGAGCCCGCAGATAGCAGAGGTTTTGAAGAAGAAGCAAGAACTGGCCCTTAACTCTGAGAGCCAGTATCTTAAAATGAAGGATCAGGAAATCGGAGTAGAAGAGAGAAGAATGCAGGGAAAGGCCACGAGAAAAGAGGAATCAGGGCGAGGAAGGAAGGATGTACAGATGAGTCTTAAGAATAAGCGAGTGAAGGGAGAATAGTGAGGGGCAGTAAGGGTCAATGTAGCACTCAGGTAAAAGAGAGAGAGGAGATGAGCAGCCTGGCAGGTGACTGGAGGGACAGGTGCACCCCTCTTTCCGAGGTCTCTGCCTCTCTTTGTCCTGACTCCACCATTCAGCTTTCGTTAGCTGTTTTTCATTTATTCTGTGACTGAGGGTGTCGTTGACGTTAAATTTCAACACATTTATTGTTTTAAAAAATCTTTAAAGTATATAGCATTTATAGCTTATTTCTAACCTATTTCCAAATATTCCAGTACAGTCAATGGAAGAAAATTCTTATCCTTATTCCCCTACTGACTCGGCTCAGTTGGCATCTAAAGAAGATGCAAGGTTGCCCCGGAATGACAGCTTTTCTTGGGTGAGCACGACTCTGGCCTAGCTTAGGCCTTCTCACCCGGGCCAGCCCCATATGTGGAAATTCTTTCCTGCTTTCGAAACACAGTCCAATGTAACTTCTTCCACGATGTCTTGCCATTCAGCTTGGTGTGCCACACCTTCCCAAGTCCTCCATATGTACGTGTCAGGGAACTTGCACCCTCCGTCTTCTAGTCCTTCCCAAAACTCAGTTCCCAAATCCCATCCTTCACTTTGTCTACTCTGTCTCCAGGCACAGATCCAAAGGAATTACAACGAGGATAACCACATGGCTTGTTAAAAATACAAGCACACCCCAGCTCTCCCAACCAGGCCCACCCTTATTGGACAACAGTAGATGCATGAAGGGGTCCAAGAAGCTGCTTTCTAAGCAGTCCCCTTGGTGGGCTCTGAGCAGTCAGGGGCAGAAAATATGAATTTCCCATTTATGGTGGGTCCTGTTTCTCATAGGCAGGCTTGTATCTTTGTGAGCCTGGGACTTCCAGTGATTGCTATCTGGGACAGTCCTAAGGAGTGCATTTTGGAATAAAGGCCAACATTGCTCTATAGACTTCCCCTGTGACCAAGTAATTCAATGCAAACTCAAGAGCATCGGGATTTATGAAGATCATCTAGCCCATGCACTGTAAACCTGGAGTAGGAATTTACTTGAGGCCCAGCATGGCCTTTACTCTCAGAATAATCCTGAAGAAAACCATTTCGAGATTTTGGAAACAGACACGAAACACACAACAGCGAGGATGGAAACTTAACAAAGCCCAGAGTTAAAGTACCGGCTAGAAAGTTCCAGAGTCCCCAGGGTCCCTAACTTGAGTCTCACCTAGCGAAGCCTCCCTTGCGTGTTTTGTGGATTAAAGTCAAGCAAGCGGCAGTGTGGATTTACCTTCCAGCGGACAGGGTTCAGGGCCTTGATGTGTTCATTCATGTCTTCATCCACATTGAAGCGATTGATGACGGAGTTGATCTTGAAAGCCACCTTGTAGTCTCGACACCACTTCCTCAGTTTTTGAAGGTTTTCCACGTGGTTCTTTTTCCCCTGACCCCGGCCAATGAGAACATTAACATCCTCAATGAAGCTGTCACAAGAGATGGCAAGAATGTCCAGATAGTCACCTGCAGGAAAAGGATGATGATGATGGTAATAATAATAATAATAACAACAATAATAATAATCTGCCCCCTAAGCCCTCGAATCCATTTGCATCTCTTTACAGTAAAGTGCACCATCTTCGCAGCTGCGTTTTAAAGACTTTCCTGATTCTCTGTTCTCTGTCCTGGACGCAGGAAAGTCAGAGAGATGTGAATTACGCAGGGCATGTATGTATGCGATCAATAAAATACATACATGCATAATGAAATCACAGAGTTACTTAATGTGATCAATTTTATACTGCACCCATGCAGGTACCTGAATCATCATTAGCACCATTTAATATGATTTTTCTCTTGTGTTGTCATAGAGACGCACAAATCATGAAGCCTGTTTCTATTAATTATGAAGGATTGTAGGCTTGCTTTGCCCGGCATACAGACAAACTTGTGTCTTAGTTGTTTAGTCATTTCTCCAGGCTCAGGAGCTTCCTCTTGCTGTGCCTTACACGTTTATTTACTATGGAACTATTTGCAGACACTCTGTGCTGCATTGGGTGTGAGCGATAGAGAGGCTGAGACAATCCAGATAAAGGGGAGCTGGGTGCAGGAGCCACAGAACAAACAGGCCCCACCCTGCAAGGCCATGCATTAAGAGTCCTGACAGGGAGTCATGGGGAGAGCTATAAAATATTGACATTGAGCTTGGCATTGGGCCTCTCTTCACCGGTCTCTGGAGCTCCAGTGTCTGCTCTGTGTATCCTGTGACAGCCATTTTCCTTCCCTGCTCCCCGCCCTCGGCTGCCTGAGAAGAGCAGGCATTCTGGGGCCTGAGGTAATCCTTGCAGCTGACCAAGCTTGAGCTCTCTTGGTTGGTGAGAATGTCCAAATGTCTCCATTTTACTCTAAAATTCTCTTCCCATTATAGAAGGGAAGAGTTCCAAAATTTCTTTCTGATACTATTCTCTATAATCGCGAAAAGACTAATTTTAGCGTTAGGTTTACTCCATGCTGCCTGTATCTAACAAGCACACACCGGAGCCAGAATAAATTTCCTGTTATTTAAATCAACTCAAAGTGTTCCACAACTTGACCTCAAGTGAATTCCTAAGGGAGGCCCCACCAGGATGAGGTAACTGAACACATAGTCTCTAACAAAACCAAGGGGACACAGAAGCTCAAACCAAACACATGAAAAGCAGTCTCTTCCAGGAGCACCTTGGCTGGCTGATTGACAAAAGCACCGAGCATCTGCTGGTCCATCCCTCTATCCTCACCCTGCACTCCATCTTTAGCTGTGTTTTTTGTGATGTCCCCCCATCTTTAGCTGTGTTTCTCTGATGTGCCCCCATCTTTAGCTGAGTTTCTCTGATGTCCCCTCCTCCTGGTCACAGCTCTTGGGTGGAATCATTTGACAGAGCAGGTCTATTGGTTCAGGTCTTGTGTTTTTCCAGAAGAGCTGAGGCTCTGGTGGGGTTCTGTGCAGCCTCTGCCTATATGGTTGCTACATTATGCAGCATGCATAACAACAGTGGGTGATGCGTGTAAGCTCCAGCCATGCGGCCATGTGTCAGGATTATGTAGACACATATATGACGTGTTTACGTGTATTGTTGGAGTCCTGGAGGACTCCATGTACTTAGCAATACATGCTTGAGTGACCAGCCCTCTGTGACACTGTCTGATCCAATATGGAAGTGTCCTGTGCGAAGACAACCCCAACATTGTCGAGGTTCACTGTTAGGAAGAAAAGAAAACCTGTGCGGGCTCAGTTAGAGATGGGCTCAAAAACAGATGGCCTCTCTGGACTCCGTGATACACACCTGTGGCCTGCTGCTATCTTGCTCTGTTTTTGCTCTCCCTGAAAGAGTCTTGGCAGTCTGCCAACAAACTCCCAAACTTGGAGGTGTTGTGCGTCTCTGATAGCTTCTCCTCATGCCCGAGGACATAGGTCCAACTTCGAGTTATTTGCGGACAATTATAATTGGGATAGTTTTACAGAGAATATCGCTTTATGTATCTGGGATAATTTGAGGGTAGGCAATTTTCCATCTAGTCTAAAAGCCAGTTAACATTTGCAATTGCCATCTACCTGACTACCACGAAGAGAGCCTTGTTGTTGACTTTTGCGGTCTGTGTGTTTCCCTCTCTCTAGCCGATGATGCTGAGTCACATGACCCTTTCTGGGTGGTCTCTGACCACAGTCTCTGACACTGTCCCGAAGCATACGTCCTGTCCACACTCTTTGACACAGGGGCAGATGTTTTGAGTCTTTCATAAAGAGCGACTACTGCCTGAGTACACCCTTCAAGACATGGTCCACTGCTCCCTATTCACGCTGCTTCTGCCAACCTTCCTCCTGTCTCACTTTGTGGCCCCAGAGTCTCCGTCCAGTGCCTCTCGTCACAGACGTCTGGCTTGGTACACCACGACAGCTTCCTCCTTGAGTTGCTGTCCCTGTTTGCAAGAATCCTCCTTGCCTGCCCAAACATCATAGACAGCCTTCACCCACAAGCTCAGCCTCTGCCTGCAGGTGGATGCATTCTGTAAAACCGTCTGGTCAGTGTCCCTAACCAAAAGTGCTGGCTTCCCTTTGAATGACTGCAGAGCTTCACAGGGTCACAAAGCAAGGGTGGAGTAAGGGAACCAGAGGGGAGGTTTGAACTGTCTTCTAAACAGAAAGTAATCACAACGAGCCACCTCATGCTCCCAAAACACTACAAACATGGACCGCTCAATCACTGCAGATCTCAGAAAATATTAAGAGCACCAAAAATCAGTCAGTCCGTGTGCTTTGAGCTTCTAATATGACTAGACTTATAATCAGCTTAGTCCTAACAGAGATTCAAAAAAAAAAGTCTCACTAGACATCCCTGGCTGAGCTAGAACTCCCTATAGAGATCAGGTTGGCCTCAAACTCACCAAGATCCATCTCTCCTCCCAGGTGCCGGCACTGAAGGTATTCACTGCCATGCCCTGTCACTAACAGAGACATTTATAAAGCTGTAGAGTGTGTTGATTTTCCTCAGTAATGGCTAAACCTAGAGCCCAGTTATCCATGAGTGCTAAATTAGTAGGTGTAGCAACGATCCGCACACTGACTTGTGTTCTCCTCTCTGTCTCCCCGTACCTGTTTATTAGCACCCAACAGAAACAAAATAATCTAACACCATGCACAACTCAGGAGAGATTATAAGAAACAAGATTAAATTAGGTTTTCTTTCCTCCCAGTTCCCCAGATGTCCTGGCCTGGAGCCCAGAAAGGGAGAAAACACAGGAGTCAACATACGAGTTGTACTGAGCAAGGTCTTGCCTGCGGGAACTTACCATAGTCCATGAACCACTTCTCGCGAATGAGGCTGCCATTGCTCACGATGCTCACAGAGGGCAGGGCCAGCTCCTCCTTGCAGAATCTCACGAGCTTACCCACGTATTCACCCCTGTCCTGCAGAAAGGGTTCTCCTCCTGAAAAGTTGATCTTCTCCATACCTATAAGGGGCAAAAGCTATATGTTTCGCATTTTCCAAATACTCATTTCATTATTTTGGTTATGAGGCTGGAAGAGAGGACCAGAGTTCAGTTCCCAGAGCCCACGTTGGACAGTTCACAGTTCCCTTCAGGGGATTCTATGCTTCTGGGGACACTGACCAACACAGGCACTCATGCACACACACACATACACACATAATAAATCTTATTATTATTTTGTAATATTTTAGTGTGTATTTGTATGTATTTACATGGAGGATGGGATAGAAACAGATCCCAGGGTCTTGTATATACTAGACAGGCACTTTGGGATGATGAGATACACTCACAGCCTCATTAATTTTTGTTTTAAAGACAAATTAACATTTCCTTATGGTAAAATTAATGAGATAAAACTAACCATTATTCTCTTTTTTTTATCTCATCCTGTTTTCCAATATTCATACCACTCTCAACAACTGTGGGTTCTGTTCATGGTCTAAACTAGGAAGGAAGTGACTGTAGTATTTCGTTCCTCTTCTTTTTCTATTTGGAAACAGATACACTCAATGACGGGAAACCAATTCCACATCGCAGCACACTCTCTGAGAAGTCCAAGGGCACTGTGAGTCCATCGGGAGATGCTCAGAACAAAAAGTCAATCCCAGATGCATCTGGGAGAAGATGTGGGGGTGACCATGAATTCATCACAGCTGTGCTATCCGGAGCTCAGAGTCCAGTTCTGTCAAAGAGCTAAGGCGTAGGTGAGTGGGCAGGTGACTCCTAAAGCTTTCAGTGAGGAAAGCAGAGACGGTGGATACCTTACGAAATCCCTGCTGCCAAAAGGCTGAACCTTAATCTAGGTCCCAGTGAGGTACCAAGGCTCAGAGTCTTTCCTGTGGGTAATGAGCCAGTTCAGACTGGAGCCAAGTGAATCAGATCCCACCATGCAGGGCTGTGTATTGCATGATTTCATTATCACACACATAACATCAGGCGAGTCTAAAGTGAGCATCACAAATCCAACTGGGAGTCCCCCTGGGGTCAGTGTGGTGGCTGGGAGGCCAGCTTGCTCCTGGAGCGCTGGCTAATAATTCTCTATTTCCCAGCTGTGGTCCAGGGAGACCTCTTTGCAGAGTCATGGGGAAGTGCAGTTAGCATGCTTGGTGCCTAGACCTGTCGACTGTGCTTCGGTTAAAGAGAAGAGAAGGCAATTTCTAGATGATCAGGTATTCTGGAAAGAGAGAAAGGGAGGGAGGGAGAAAGGGAGGGAAAGAAAGAAGGAGGGAACAAGGAAGAGAGGGAGAGAGGGAAGGAGAGAGAGGGAAAGAGGGATGGAAGGAGGGAGAGAGTGAGGAAGGAAGAGAAGAAGTGAGGGAGGGAGGGCAGGTTAGGAGGTGAAAATGCTGCACAGCAAATCTTAGGAGAAAAATCCCATGACGTGCCTGTCAAAATCATGTTAAGGTTTACAGAGGGCTGGAGAGGTGACTAGGTGTTATGACCCACTTGCTGCACAAGCCTGAGAACTTTTGTTTGGATCCCTGATACCCTAGAAAACCTGAACACCGCAGTGAGCATTTATGACGCCATCCTTCCTACTTCAGGATGGGAGGAAAGAGAGTCTTCTGTGAGGCTCAAATGCCAACCTACACTGCACATCATGTCAATGGCAGAGAAACCCTGTCCCGTAGGGCAGACTGATACCTGAAGTAGTTGTCTTTTGGTGGTCACAGGCTACAGCTCTGCTGTTGCCAAGCAGGTGACCAGATTACCACACACACACATGCACACACATACACATATACACACACACATACCATACATACATATATATAAGTGCGCACACACCACAATACATATATACACGCATGCAGACACACCACACACCACACACACACAATGTGTATGCAAAGAATGCAAAGATTTTCTTCTTTTGAGGGAAAAGTCTTCACCAAGGAACAGGGTGAAGCTTCTGCCAGGCTGTTCACACCGGGGACGTGGGTCTTCCCTTCCCCTTTCCCACTTAGTGTTTCTGGAAATCAGATTTCTCTGGGCAGACTCTTCCAGGGACACAACTTTCCTGAGTTCCTGTTTCCAAACACCAGGAGGAACAGGGCCCTGTTCACACCTCTGCTCTCGGGAGCGACTGTTCACCTCCCAGACTGGAGCAAGCTGTTGTTCCCTGGCCCATCCTTGAAAGACTGCCTGTTCCCTGCCCCACGATGCTGTGTCTAAATCTCAGGGAGCCCTTCGAACCCTCATCCTATGTGCAACCCCTGTTATCTGGCATGCGCATTCTGGCTTTTGCCTGGGCTAGGAGCTTACCAGCCTGTTTGAGCAGAAGCAGCCCTCGCTTGGCCTCCTCCAGGGGCAGCACGAAGGATGTCTTGGCTGTGTGGAAGCAGAACCCGCACTTGTAATTGCACTGACGGGTGAAGTGGTAGTTGACGCTAACAGGGACTGTAGGCTGAGAATCGTTTGGTTCTTCCGGGGTCTCCTCGGGCATGGTCCGGACCTGTGGCTGTGGTTGTCCCTTTCCAGAACCTAGCCATTTCAGTGCTAGTCTAAACCAGCAAAACAGGATGGCCAGTCCACTCCAGAGGGAGTCTAGCTGCTGCTGGAACAGGCTCAGCAGCCCCGCAGCGAGAGCAGTGGGCAGGAGCATCCCCATGGTGATCTGCACTCACCTGCAGCTGCCAGAGGGCTTATAAGCTGCGGGCCAGCCACACCCCCGTGCATTCTGTCACATGGCAGAGGGAAACGCCTCCCTTGAGTAAGTCTCAGCTGAGCAGAGTTTCTGTTTTCTGAAAATGAAAGTTGAACCTGAGCCAAGACAGAAGCCTGGGACGGAGGCCAATGGGCTGCCTTTCCCTGGCTCACGGCTGCTCCTATGCTATGACCCCTGTAAACAGCGTCAGTCCTGATGAGCCCGATGACGCTGCAAAGATTCCAGCAGCCACCAATTTCTAAACAAGGGTCGTCCAGACACATAGCTGCCTCCCAACAGGTTATTATTTTAACACAAAATTATGCGTTAAGCTTCTTGTAACGAATATCTATGCATACTTAGCAATTTTTAAATCCTCTTCTTTGGTTCTCCACCCACCCCACTCGTGCCTTACAAACAAACAAATAAACAAAACCGAACCACCAAAAACCTGGAGTTTTATAACTTTGCACGAGGCAGACCATGCAGGCTGACCTTGGCAGCTCTCTCAAAGAGGAAGGAAAAGGAGTTCAAGACTGGTAGATGTCAGGAAAAACAAAAAAACAACAAACAAATAAATATAGCAAAGAAATTCCGCACAGTAAAGTTAATCACTTTAAAATTGGATTTCTTAGTAATTATTTTTTTTTCTCTTTTATATTGCCAGAGGACACACATTGTAGATTTTCCTCAGACTCTTCCTTTCAAAGCTTTGCCATCGTGGTACAGTTCTGCAGTCCTGTGCACAGTGTGGCCGGTTCCTTTCCTCCAGGCAAGCTCCTGTGTTTTGGTAATAAGGTCGTTTCAGACAACACATTAAATTTGCTTTGCTTGTCTCTGGACTTCTCCTCTTCTGATGCTTCTGTCTCCCCTCTGGCATCTTTCCCAAGGAGCTCCATGCTTCTTGAGTTGTCTTCTTTGTGTTGTTTCTACTTTAGTGTTTGGGGGGAAGTAGAGAGAGTCTTGGACATACAGTTCCTTCTGCCTCTGAGAAGGAAAGGACAGCACCACAGCTAAAGACCACAATTTAGCAGGCTTCATAAATGCTGATGGAGGGACTAAAAGAACCAAGCTTGGAAATTCTTCTACTATGTATATCTTTTAGTTGTTTTTTTAAAAAAAGCCTCTTTGAATGGAACATTTTGCTTTTTGTAACACCAGATATTGTTTCCAATCTTCCCTTACAGCCACTGCATCTTCTTTCTCTAGTAAACAAAGAGGTTGTAGGCTGAGAGTCCCTTATCTAACATCTGGAGGGGAGATGTGATTCTTATTTCATGGTTTGTTTCTCAGATTTGGGGAAAATTTATACTGACAAAGACTATCATTGACTGGTCACCCTGGAAGTAATACAAGACACGTTTTAAATGGAATCTACACACAGAGCAGTTGTATTCATGGAGTTTTATACCTCTCTCTCGCTCCCCCCCCCCCCGTGTGTGTGTGTGTGTGTGTGTGTGTGTGTGTATGTGTGTAAAAAGCTAACCATTCTAGATTTGAATTTACAGGCATTCAACCTGAATGCCTGTAATGTGGCATCTTCTTCCCAAGAGGCTCGCATGAAGTACTTAGGGTTGCTTGCTGTGACAGTCAGAGAAAGAATCATTTCCCAGGGTCCAGCTGGCCAATGCTGGTTCTTTCTTCAAGAGAAGAAGTCAGTTTGCCAGAGAGATGACTGGAAGCCCATGTTCCCTGTAGTGTTACAGAGCCAGGATGTGGATTCCTCCAAGAGTTCATCTACAGACTGATGGGTAAGGAAATATAACACAGGGGCTGGGACAATAACTCTGCTGGCAAAGGGCTTAACTTGTATTGTGTTAACATTTTCTGAGGCAACAAAAACAACAAACATGTTTTCATCTCAGAAAGGGCGTCAGCGAAGGACCAAAGTTCAATTCCAGCCAAGCGCAATTTGGTGAGCCAATGAGTTTATTATATTTATAGAGCGGGGGAGGGGGGGATGGGCTACTTCTGAAGAAAAGCATCGTGGCAGAGCCCTGCCCCAGCATGGATGAGGACCTCATGGAAACTGCACCACGCGGGTCCCCTTTCAGCTAATCTTAAACTTGGAATGTATCCTATGATTTCCCAGGATCACTTGAATTTGTGAGAGCAGGAAGGAGTCACAGGGAAATACCAGGTGAGGGTCTTGTGACATTCCCCTCTTCTGTCTACCAAGGCACCATGTCAATAGCTCTTTCCTGTTACCACAGACTTGGCTACCACTGCACTGATTCCCTGATTAGTGAACAAGAAAACCTTTGGTTCAAAGTGGCGGTGGGGTGAATGGGTTTTACCCTCAGTAGGAAAGACCATGCTGTAACATCTTGGAAGTGGTGGGCCTGAGTTTGATTCCCAGAACCTATATAAATAATGCCGTGTGTCGTATCACCTGCCTGGAATCCCAGCACTGGGGATAGGGAGACAGCCAGATCCCTACAACTTGCTAAGGGATTCAGCTAGGCCCATTTTACAGCAAACTGCAGGGGATCTGTCTGCCTTTGCCTTCCTCATTGCTACGACTACAAGTACAAGCTCCCATGTCAGGCTCTTTTACATAGATCTAGAGATCTGAACTCAGGCCTTCATGCTTACAAGATAAATTCTTTACCACCTGAGCCACAGCTGATGTAGAAGGGTCTTCTATCTATCTGTTGCTTTCATTGGTTAGTTAATAAAGAAAACTGCTTGGCCTGATAGGCCAGAACGTAGGTAGGCTGGGAAGACAGAACAGAATTGTGGAAGAAAGAAAGAAGAGTCAGGAAGTCGCCATGAAGTTCTGGCCCAAGATGGACGTAGGTTAGAATCTTCCCCGTAAACCACTACCTCGTGGTACTACACACATTAATAGAAATGGGTCAATCAAGATGTGAGAGTTAGCCAGTAAGAGGCTAGAGCTAATGGGCCAGGCAGTGTTTAAATGAATACAGTTTCTGTGTAATTATTCTGGGGTTAAGCTAGCCATGAGGGAGCTGGGCAGGACGAAAAGCAGGCCTGCTTGTCTCTTCACTACACACAGCCCTGTCCCCATTGTCACATTTTCTTTTTTCTTCTTTCTTTCTTTCTTTCTTTCTTTCTTTCTCTCTTTCTTTCTTTTTGAAACTTAACAGAGTCCTTAATTGGACTGTTCTAGTTCCCTCTTTTAATCAGAACGGTGTTAGCATGTTTTCTGTGAAAAGTGAAAAAGTCTGATGGCTGAATCTTGGGTGTGGGTCTGTGCTCAGGGTCTAGGTGATATAGCTGAGGTACTAGGCTCAGGGTCTGGGAGATGCAGCTGAGGTGCTGGGCTCAGGGTCTGGGAGATGCAGCTGAGGTGCTGGGCTCAGGGTCTGGGAGATGCAGCTGAGGTGCTGGGCTCTGGGTCTGGGAGATGCATCTGAGGTGCTGGGCTCAGGGTCTGGGAGATGCATCTGAGGTGCTGGGCTCAGGGCCTGGGTGATTCAGCCGAGGTTCTGTGCCTAGGCTCTGTTTGATGCAGCTGAGGTATTGCACTGTGGACTTTTACTCCCTTCTCAGCAAACATCTCCTGAGATCTTTGTGAAGAGGAAAAATCCTCATTTTCCAGAAGGAACAGAACATAGCCTGCAGGGAGCCAGCCATTGTTGTGAATGGAAACAGAAACCTCTATTTATTTTTGGAACTGGGAAACCGAAAGTAAACTCTGCAGCACAAGCCTGCAGCTTAAGGAAGACAGTTATGCCTGTGTTATCTGACACAAGTCCTTGAAATCCGCGGAAAGGAAAATGCTGTAATCTCTGGCCGAGATTGAGACTTGAGAAATACCCTCTGCGAGGCCACACACACACACACACACACACACACACACACACACACGACGTCAGCATCAGGTGAAACAGCTGGTGAAAAGTGCTTCAGTGGACCAATCCTGGCTGAGCTGGGACCACATACTTTGGGGTAGATTTTGTTACCTGCCTGCGATTTATTTGGCTTGTGCCATTCTTTCAGATATTAATTAGAGCATGCTTTCCTCAAGCCATCTTCTTTTTATTTTTTAAAAGCATATTTATTGAGATTGCCCTGTGAAGTTGTCATATAAAAATATCATCAAGTATGAATGAAATATAAGTGTACTAGTTAGCTCCGTTGTCAAACTGACTAGATCTAGTGCTCTGATGGGAACATCTGTTGGTTGACTTTAGGCGGGTGGTCCCCTCTTGGCTCTGTACCCGGCCATTTGTCTGCCTGAGCTTCTGTTCCATCTGGGAAACACGGACAGTCATGTGTTGCTCACACATGACATCATAATATCGAGGGCCTTGGTGCAGATTCAGCACTAAGGGCAGTGCTTGCAGTAACAGAGTGAGGAATGTCCACTCCCCTTATGAGCCTGGCGCTGGGCTGTAGTTTGCACACTGATTCATGCTACAGTTTAGGACACCGACCTCACTCAGGGAGCAAGATCTCAGTGGGTGTTTAATGCCGGCCACACTGCTTCACAACTGACTACCATAATAGAATTGCATTATCTTTGCTGGTGAGACTTCTCTGCCCAGGGCCAGGTTCTTCATTCATTCATTCATTTATTCATTCACTCATGTATTCAGGCGTGCTTTCATTTTCTCATGTTCCTTTTCTTTGATATATATTGACTGGAATTTCTCTATGGAGTTGTCATATAAAATATCAATAATTAGGAGTAAAATGTAAATCTGATAATTATCTTCACTCTCAACTTGACTAGGATTGATTGATTGATTGGATAATTGATTTTGATGGAAACATTTGTATTTTCACATGTTTCCAGGGAGTTTAGCCAAGAAGGTAAGGCCTTTCTTAGTGGACTTAGAGTGTCACCATCCCCTAGGCTGCAGGCCCAGACAGAGTAATAGTGGAAAGAGGAATTGAGACCCAGCATGAATCCCTTTCTACTTCCTGACTGCAGAAGCAACGTGACCAGTCCCATCATGCCACTGCCTCAAAGCCTTCCCTACCATCTCCTTTCATGCCCTGAGACAACAGGAATTCTTTTCCCCTTTAGTTGGTTCAGGTCTAAAACTTGACCAGGACAAGGGAACAGTAACTAATACAAATGAGGAAGAGACGTGCACTAGTGTCAGGAGCTTACTAGTCAGTCCTATGTTGTTTCTGAGGGCAGGCCTGGCCTCTCCTAACTCCTGTTCCAGCAGAGAATAGAGATCAGGGAAGTGTGGATTCTTGTTTCTGTATAATGGAGGGAGCTTGTGTGGTTGTGGAGGCCTTGGCGGTTAAGCTTTGCCTTCTACCTTGTTTGAGACAGGGTCTCCTATTGTTGGATTGAGTACTTCAGCCTTGTATGTGCACAGGTTTCTGGGGATTCTCCAGTCTTGGCTTCTACCTACTTTAGAAACACTGACATATCACACACACACACACACACACACACACACACACGCACGCACGCACGCACGCACGCACGCCCTCACCACTACCACCACCTTACTTGGCTTAGCCTAAGCTCCAAATTCATGTCTTGATGCTTTTTTTGGCAAGTGCTCTTTATGCTCAAGGCCCTCTTCATAATCCCAGACTTCCAATGGAATTTATATAAACATTTGCCGTACGCTACAAGACAGCCGTGTGTGTTGACCAATGACCTCCACAGATACTGAAAACTTGTCAACTTGACTTTTGGGCTAATTTACAGACCTGGTGTTCACAACGGCTTGAAGACCAGGCCTGACGAGGGCGGCTGATTATCGATCTCCTCAGGGCTCTCCCCACACTCCCGTTACCATTCTCCTCCTCTATGTTTTAGCAAAGCTGTTGCATGGCTGTTGTGCCTCCCGAGGAGGAAGACAGCACACTTTAGGGTCTGAGATCCACTCACAAATGCCAAGGTGGGTGAGGGGTTCTTCTGCAGACTGCTGAAGGTCGGTGTGGGTCATGGCTGACCTCACAGAGGCCCTGTTAGCTCTTTTCTCCTTGGGAGTCTCATGCTGAAACCAATTCAAATCATTATGACAAAAGCCAAAGGCCACCAGCATTGTACCTCAGCCAGGGATCTGACCCCTGAGTACCCGTGCATTCCTAACATGCCCCATGCACTCTGGTGGGGACAGCGCTCCAAGCAGGGCTGTGTTGCTTTGCTGGGCTGTGCAGTCTGCTTACTAAATTGCAAAGGTCATAGTCTCTAGGAAATCTGTCACTGAATTGTCACACGGAGAGTTCAGCAGTGATCATAGCATAGCATCTTCCATGCTTGGTCTTGGAGTCAGCTGGGCCTGACTTGGAGTCACCTGGGAGACACTCCCCTCTTCTTGCTATTTGGTACTTATATACCTGCTTAGAGCTTCTGAACCCTTTTATTGCACGTGACTTGGGATTTGGACTCTACAGCCGTCACTGCACAAATCTGCTTTGTTGATGCTCCCTTTCAGATCTCCTTATTTATACTGTGACAACCAAATTTACTAGCGTATATTATGTGACATGTTCTCTCTGTGAGGAGTCCTTTGCTGTCTGGGCTCTGTGAAGTCTTGTGTCCTCATAGCTCTGATTTCTGTTGTTCTTTATTTCCTACACTTGAATTGACTAGCTAAAGCATAGCTAACCTGAGCCATTTTTTCCGTTTTATAATATATTAGTTATTACATTTAAATGTCTTGAACTTACCCTTCCTGTTTTCTTTTTCTTTTAAATGTGAACGCATGGAATAATTTAGTCTTGTTTTTCCTTTGGACTGGCATCAGGAAGTGCTGAGTATGGGTCTTTGTTGTGAATGGAAACAGAAAGGACTGCTTTTCCAGCCTTGGGAAACTGAAAACAAACTCTTGAAGCGCTGGAGGTGAAAGACCTTCCTTAGAATACATGCCTGTCAAATGGATGGAGCTAGAAAACATCATAGCGAGTGAGGTAACCAAGACACAGAAAGACAATTATCATATGTACTCACTCATAAGTGGTTTTTAAACAAAAACCAAACAAACAAACAAAAAACCAGCCTACAGATCACAATCCCAGAGAACTTAGACAACTATGAGGACTCTAGGAGAGACATACATTGATCTAATCTACATGGGAAGTAGGAAAAGAAAAGATCTCGTGAGTAAATTGGGAGCATGGGGACCTTGGGAGAGGGTTGAAGGGGAGAGGAGAGGTGGGGAGGGGAGCAGAGAAAAATGTGAAACTCAATAAAAATCAATAAAAAATGAAAAAAAGAATACATGCCTACTATTCATAAATTCATTAATTCATCCACTCATCCCTTTGAAGGGACTTCTTGAAGTATTTTCTCAGCTTCTAGTTTCTCATCTCTGTGCCCCCAAGGGCAAATTGCTACAGGCACAGTTATTCAATCTGAACCAGATGGTGCCATCAGGCACTTTCCCCTAAGAACATTAACTTGGCACTCAAATATTTGACTGGCCGATTCTTGTTGTCCGTCCATTAACTGTGCCCAAGAAGCCAAGAGCAGCAGTTTCTGTTCTAGTCTTGCCAAGCAGTCTGTCTCAGTGGCTACGGGCCTTCACAGCTCCTTCCAATAACTTTACACAAAGGTCAAAGGTCAGAGCTCAAAGCTGATCTCCACCTCACTCTATTTAGAGGATCCCAGCACATTGTTATGGGTCCGGGCTTCAGTAAGTCAGAACTACTATTTTTTTGGTTTTGTTGTTTTGCTTTCTATCAAGCTGGCCGAGGGTCAACATTCTATAAATCTCTCAACTTTGTGCAAAAAAAAAAAAAAAAAACAACTTTATGCCAAAGAATTCAAGTTGTTTTGTTTTCATCTTTTTGTTTTATGCAACTTTTAGAAATGACAACCCTATCTGCTGCTTTTCTGGAACTTGATGGCCTGAAGAGGCTGGCCCCTTCCTCTTTTTCTTCATTTCCTTTGCCCTGTTTTTTTTTATTTTATTTTATTATTATTATTTTTTAAGTTAGCCAACCTGGAAATGTGGGACATAGCCAATGGGAAAAAGCCACAGTTAATACTTCCATTCAAACAACTCTGAGTACCTTCTCACCTTGCTGTGCTTCCTAGCCAGGGTTAGGTCTTAAGCACTTTTTTTTTTTCTTTTTCAAAAACAAATTGTCTTGCAGAGTTACTTTCATTTTGTTTCTTTGTGTGACACCAAAAATATTTATTTCCAGGAATTAGAACCCCGGACTCGGATACTCTATCTGGTGTCCTGGGCCGTGATTCCACACAGGTTCCTGCAGCTCACCGTTGGAGGTGATGCAATTCTCAAACAGCTCACTCCAGATTCTATTGCACACCCCATGCACATCGCATTTTCTTGCTCTACCAACTGTATTGATGCATCTGTCCCCGCGGCATTTTTACCCCTCTTTGTGCTGTGATAAATCCTAAATTGAAACTGTGACAGAGACACACATCTTTATTGTGAACCAGCAAAGTGAAGGTGGTCTTGAGTCTCCTTAAACACAGCTAGTACACACACACACACACACACACACACACACACACACCCGGGAGTGGAGGGAGAGAGACATTTCAAAACATTAGATATCAATGCAGGCGATTTTAATTGGCAGTTATTCAATGTGGCAGCCTGGTCGCATAAACGGTTTTTAAGTGGGCTCCTTGTGAGTAAGGAGCACACCGGAGGAGTCCTTCATTTGGGAAGCTGGAGAGCTGCCCAAACTGGTTGTAGGACTGGCTATCACGTGGCAAACTGAGGTCAGGACACCGCTAGCCTCTTGAAGGTCTCTGGAATCAGGTGTCTGTGCACAGGTGGGTCATGAAGTTGTGTGCATATGCTTTCTGGGAAGAGATCCCTCTGTGCCTCAGTTTCCATTTGCCCCAGTCCTTTCCTGTCAGGAATGAGTAGCCTGGGAGAAGTTTAAAACTCCGCTGGGAAGCACTTGCAACCACAAAACCAAACCAGACAAAGCTGAGGCCTCGAGAGAGGCTGGAATTCTCAGGGGAAGGCGTTGCCAGGGGACCACAGCAGCGCTAGCAACGCACCAGAGTCCTAGGGCCTGGAGAATTTCCTAACCGCCCGCAGGCGGTTAAGTGCGCGGCTGCTGTGTGAGGCGTAGAAGCTCAGGCGGGGAAAAGCGCGGCCACACCCAAGGTCCCGTGGGCAGCCGTCTTCGCTTTCGTTTCTCACCGATCCTGGGTCCTGTGGTCACCCGCAGTTTCGTTTCCGAGGCGTGGTGGAGGGCGCGGCCCGGAACACCCATGGCCTTAGTGAGCCGCCCTCGAGCCCCACTGTGGCTCGGGCGACTGTCGCGGCGGCTGTGCTCGCGGCACCGGGCTTGCACTGGGAGCATGGTTCGGCAGCGGCGGTTCGCTGTAGAAATGCCGGATTGCTCCCTGACTCATTTCGTCTTAGGGGACAAGGAAGGTCACCCGGACTCACGCCTGGCAGCACTGCTAGGGCCCCCGGGGCGCAGTTACGCGTTGTGCGTGCCGCCAGCCCCAGGCACAGGCTGCGGTCCCCGGGTGCAAGCGGCCCGGATGCACCAGCGTCTGCTGCTGCAGCTGCGCCGCGGTCCTTTGCAGCGGTGCCAGCTGAGCAAGCTGCTGGGCTACGGTCCCGGCGACCAGGAAGGTGAAGCCCAGCATGGCTTCCTGCTGCGCGACCCTAGCGACCACCCAGACACTCGGCGTGCCTTGCTGCAGCTTCTGAACTCCTGCCAGGAGGCGGCGCACCCGCAGCTGGCCGAATTCCAGGCCGACTCTCAGGGTTTGCTGTGGCAGTGCTTGTGGGAGCTGCAGGGAGACAGGCAGGTGCAAGTGGACTGCGCATGCGTCCTGCCGGCACAGGAGCCCCTTCTGCACCCATTGCTGCCAGATCTGCTCAACTCCGCTGTGTTCCAAGACAGGGATGCTGCACGGGCGGTATTGGAGGAGGTGAGGGCGAGTTCTTTCCCTTTGGGGCTGAGTGGAACTGGTTGGTCTGCCCCCGGCTGGCCAATCAAGTGCTTTCCGCCTGCCTGGTTTGTTTGTTCGCATTCGTGAGACAGCTGGTGTAAGCAAGCTGTGCAGGCTCTGTCTTCAGTATTTCTTGGGCAGGTTTCTGTCAAGCGAGTGCTGAGTGCATGCGACACCTGGCTGAGCAATGCTTGCTGGGGATACATTCTCAAAGTCCTGCAGGGGGAGTAAAGAGTCCCCTGGGAATTGGGGAGAATGAGGCCAGCCAGTAAAGGGGACAATTTGCTGAGCAGTGGCTCCGGATCTGGCATCGTGGGGGCACAGAAGATACACTACGTGGTTTAGAGGGCTTAAGCATTAAATAGTTTGTGGGCCGTATGCAGGCCCTCTCAACTGTTCAAACATTTTTTCTTTTATTTTCCCCATCATCTGTAAATTTTCCTGTAATGGAGAACAAGAGATTTCTGGCAGAATCTCCAGGAAAAAGCCTAGGGTTGTATTGGTGCCTGGGACAGGCAGACAGGGCCTGCTGGTCTATGTAGCTAACCTTATTTCGCAAGCTGTTGGACAGGGCTAGAGAGTGATCAGCCAGTGAGATGATTCCATGCCTGGCTCTCTTATGGCTTGGTTCTCCAACACTCTGCCTCCGTTTCCTTAACCTGTAAGGTAATAGTAACAGAAGCATTCCCACAGATGGACCAGTCTAATACTTACAAAGCTCTTAGGAGCTTGCCTTGCTCACAGTAAGCACACCAATGAACGAGAGCGGGCCTCAGCTGAAGGTCCTAGGGGCATGGGATGTTGTGATGAACAGTAAGGAAGTACAGATTCTCGGTAGGATCTCAGCTTGAAGCTGCATGAGCTTCAAACACTTTTCTCAGCTTTCTGGACCATTAGGGGGCTGTGTGTGCATGCCTGGCGTGTGTGTGTGTGTGTGTGTGTGTGTGTGTGTGTGTGTGTGTGTGTATTGGGGACTGGTGGTGGTAGATGCACTTGTCTGGTTACCTCTATAGAGCAGTTCATGTATATGAGACCTCTTGTTCCTATCAGGGCCTGGAGTTTCATCGTGCCTGTGGTTAGAATTATGTGTCTACTTGTCCTTCCTATAGGGTGGGCTAGCCAGTGTAGGATCGAGGTTGTGTTACCCAGACATTTGCAGCCTTCTTGCTGTTGTTGTTTTTGAGTGTGTTTCAGCTTCTAAATTCTAGGAACCCAAGTTCCATTTCAATCTAGAAAAGGTCTCTTTAGCACTGGGCAGCGCTGTCTTTGGCAGAATAACGACAGATTCCCAGAAGCCCCAGGGCTTCCTTGCTTATGCAGTTTTATTTATGTTTTCCCCTCATACAGTGCACATCCTTTATTCCCGAAGCCCGGGCAGTGCTTGACCTGGTTGACCAATGCCCAAGGGAGATTCAGAAAGGAAAGTTCCAGGTCATTGCCATCGAAGGACTGGATGCCACTGGTAAGTGAGCACTGCTCCGTAGCTATTGTCACCGCCATGAACCGAACAGCTGCAGGAGGAAGTCCTTGCAATACTAAATGCCATACAGAGCCGTCTGTGAGTCTCTATGCCAGGCTGACCATGGGTCATGAGAGGGGAGGTCAATGGAGGTCCTTTTCTGCTGATACCTTCAGAGGAGACCCAAGGTGATACCCAGGCTACATTCTAGGAAGAAATAAGAGCAGGCCAGATGTTGAAAACAAGGAAGGTGTACGCAATGACTGGATAGAGGTATAGCTTATGTCCAGGAGCCACAGGATGTTCAGAGGCCCCTGGTGAAGCAACCTGAAGAAAGGAGGCAATGTAAGCTTCCTGGACAAATCAAGACGGTCAGTGTATGAAAATGTGTTAACACTGTAGCGGTCAGAGTATGAAAATGTGTTAACACTGTAGCAAGAACTTTCAAGTCCAGGGAAAGGCTGGTGGTGGAAGATACTGTTATCTTTAGGCTTCTCCTGTGGCACTTGGATGGGTGCAGACTGCTGCCATACCCTTGTTTTGGTCATTGTACTTTTTTGTTGTTGTTGTTGTTGTTAATGACACAGGATTATCAGCAAACTGGAGACCTTAAGTGAGAAAATGCCTCCATCAGATTGTCCTGTAGGAAAGTTGGTAGAACCATTTTTTTTCTTGATCGATAATGGATATGGGAGGACCCCACACACTGTTGGTGGTACTACGTAGGGCAGGTGGTTCTGAGCTGTACAGAAAACAGTCTACGCCACACAGGAGGAGTAAGCCAGGAAGCATCCTTCCTCCATCGTGTCTGCTTTAGTTTCTGTCTGCCTGCATCCCTAACCTGTTTTCCCTCGGTCATGGAGTGCGGCCTGGGAGTTGTAAGATGAAATCCACTTCCTGGTGATAGTTTTGATCCAGGCTCCATCATAGCCACCGAGAGTAAACTAGGGTCATGGTGGCGGTGACTAGGGATTTCTCGCAGGCTAGGTAAGTGCTTTGCCGCTGCCGATCCACTTCCCTGGTCCCCAAGCTGTTATCTTGAACAACGTCAAAGGTACTTTCCACATGGGCATTTTTTGTGTGTCACAACTGGGTGGCACAGTGGGGAAACTGTGACTCACTGCCCTGGCTCTACCTGCAAGTCACCAGGCATCAGGAGGGAGAAACAATGCACTTGGCTTCGGCAGCTCTGGGCACGGTGCCAAGGCCTGGCTGAGGTTGGCTTTTAGCCACTGCTAAAAATTTTAACATCAGCTGCCCATTGTGGGTTTTTGATCATTTTCTTTTTTTCTCCTTTTTCTTTTTGGTTCAGTGTGTTTTTATTGTCGGCCGTTTTTGTATGTAGAGATAATTCACACTCTGTGGGACAAAAGGAAAATAGAAACCTTTAACCTCAGCACACCTATGCACACGCATGTGAAGTTCCAAAAGCGACAACAAGCAACAAGGAGAGGAGGAAGGGCTTTCATGGCCACGGCTGAGTGCTGGGCCCAGCCCCACGAAGGAGGTCCCTGTGAATGGCTGCTCCATTACCTTCTTATGTAGAACAGGGCACTCAGAGCACATTGTGTGTTAATGGTGTGCCCATAGTACACACACTGTACCATTAAGATCTGCCTGAACAGACCAAGAGAAGAGTAAATAAACAGATGAAGTCTTGGCACTCTGAGCGTTAAGCATGATAGAGGGAAAAAGGCCTTGAGTGTAAACAGTTGGAGCTCAGTGGGGTCAGTGAAGAATATCTGTCTAGAGTATATTATGCTTATCACTGTAGTCCTGGGCTCCAGGCAAAGGCTGGGACATCTAAGATGGACCCAGGGCAGTGTGACACCCAGGGCTAAGTAAAAAGGAGTCAAAAAATACACCTAAATATACTCTAAAGGAGACAAGGGTGACTTGAACTCTGATAAGTCACTCTCGGCTCCAAACACCATGCCAAACACCAGGCACAGAGTAGCAGGCATAGGGGCAGGGACTTTGAAATGGAGTTGAGTAGAAGTACAGTGGGGCTGGAGCAGGTGGAGAGGAGCTGGGAGAAGTGGAGAAGCTGAGAAGTGGGGCAGGTGGAGAGGAGCTGGGAGAAGTGGAGAAGCTGAGAAATGGAGCAGATGGAGAGGATCTGGGAGAAGTGGAGTAGCTGAGAAGTGGAGTGGGGCCTGAGCAGGTGGAGAGGATCTGGCAGAAGTGGAGTAGCTGAGAAGTGGAGTGGGGCCGGAGCAGGTGGAGAGGAGCTGGGAGAAGTGGAGAAGCTGGGAAGTGGAGCAGGAGGGAAGGAGCTGTAAGAAGTGGAGGAGCTGAGAAGTGGAGTGGGGCCTGAGCAGGTGGAGAGGAGCTGGGAGAAGTGGAGAAGCTGGGAAGTGGAGCAGGAGGGAAGGAGCTGTAAGAAGTGGAGGAGCTGAGAAGTGGAGTGGGGCCTGAGCAGGTGGAGAGGAGCTGGGAGAAGTGGAGCAGGTGGAGAGGAGCTGGGAGACGTGGAGCAGGTGGATCTTGAAGAGGAATGAACAGAGTGGGTGAAGAGCGTGAAGGGGCCCTGAAGGGGAATAGGGAAAGGAGATTTCTGTTATCTGAACACCACGACCAAAAGCACCTCAGAACAGAAAGGATTACTTCATCTGCCAGCTTTCAGACCCATCCTGAAGCAAAGTCAGGGCCGGAGCTCAAGTAGGACCTGGGGGCAGGAGCTGAAGCAGAGGCTCCTCGAGGCTTTGTGGAGTCTGCATTCTTATAGATACCAGGGTATTATGTAATCACTTCTGTTGAATTGCAGAGTAAAGACCTTTGCTCTTCCTTCGTGAGTAGGTTAGCGCTAACCTTTGGGAGGGACCATGAAGACTTCAGCTCAGAAGGTTCCCTTCTGTTTACATCCTGCAGGTAAAAGCACCGTGACCCAGGCAGTGTCGGAGTCTCTCCAGGCCGTCCTCCTACAGTCGCCACCCCCCTGCATCAGCCAGTGGAGGAAAATCTTTGATGACGAACCGACCATCATTCGAAGGGCATTTTACTCTTTGGGAAATTATCTGGTGGCTTCTGAAATAGCTAAAGAGTCAGCCAGGTTCCCTGTTATTGTAGACAGGTGGGTAATGCCTTCTCTGTGACACACGACTCTCTCTCTCTGCATACATACATATTCAGGTGCTCAATTGTGAACATGCATTATGATTACAAGGGGAATACTGAATTATTAACTACTTATGTCATGTCCTGATGTTTTATACTAATATCTGAATAGTGCCTTGGGTAGGTTGGAATCGGTCTCTGTAGTTAACTAATAAGAAACGTGGATCATCAAAGGTTGTATCATAACCAACAGATATCATTCCTCTTATTATGATCAATGGCAACCCCCGGGCTAATGTGGGGCCTATCATGTGGTCCCTACTGTGTCCTTTGCCCTCTGATAAAAAGTCCAGAAACTATTGAAAATGAAAGGATTGAGGGGTAGCTATGGTCACACAGTCTAAGCAGTCTGCCAGCCTTGGAGAATCTTTAAACCTTGAAACAGTCTTCTTTTTCCTGGTGACTTCAGTTTATATGATAAGTACTTGCTGTAGGTGATTCTTCTTTGATGTTGAATATGGTGTTTTACATTTGTTCACTTTTAATAGAATGTTGCCTGAATAGGACAAGAATCTGATTGCAGCAAAGGCTGGGAAGGGGGCCTTCACTAACAGTGCTTTGCACTTGGGTCTACAGAGGCCCCAAATGCCCATTAATGCCTGATAATGAGAGAGAGAAAGAGAGAGAAGGAAGGAGGGAGGGAGGGAGAGAGGGAGGGAGGGAGGAAGGGAGGGAGGGAGGGAGGGAGGGAGGGATAAAGACAATAAAAAGGAAATGCATGGGATCTTGGTCTCCTTTGCTCTGAGTCATTCTCTCCCATGGTCACCTTTGATTCCAGAACATTATCTGTATCATGGGTGACCATCTTCCAACAAGGGTTGAGTCCACCCACTAGGCAACAGCAACTCTTTCATGGGGGCCACATCTCTCCTGACTGATCCTGAGTTTATGATCAGCCAGGTCGCATCTAGACCAAGACTGACTAGCTATCTTGTATCCCAACAATTTTACCCATTCCCTACTTAATCTTGGCGCTCAAGTCAGTACGCCCAAGGACAAAGCTAAGAATACAGGTGCCTTCTGACCTGGTGGGACTCTACAGGACTTATAGGAATCCCTTTTCTGCTTTTCACCATTGGTTTTGATGACGGTGGCTGGACTTGATTTTCTGGGACACACAGAGTTGAGCCCCTGTTCTAGTAACATCGCACATGTATGTTAGTAAATATCATCCATTGACATATGCATGCATGTGGGCCTCAACAGCCATGAGGAACATTACGTATTTCATGCTAATAAACTCCATCCATTAATAGACATAAGAAACACGCACTTATTGTATGCCTACTATGTGCTGGTTTGTAGTTTTAGTGTTTGAGAACACAGATGTGACTAAGGAGCATTCCTTACTCAGTGAATACATTGTCTATGGAGGAGACAGCATTTCACACATGCAACAGTAGCTGTGATCCCCAGAAAGAAGTTCCTCAGTAGAGTCTCCTCCAATGTATGAGGAGCCAGAGGAGGAGCATGGCTTCCATGTGGGGCCTTCATGGGAGCAGGACTGTGAAGGCAGAGGAGGGACTTTGCTAGTTGAGGGTATCATCACTGCCAGGAGGTGCGGTGTGTGTCCAAGCAACATGGTATGGTATGTGGTCCAAGCTGGGAGGAAGTTCCATGTCTCACAAGGAGACAGAATCCTTTCATGGGGGTGGTGGACGGCTGTTAGGCTTCCAGAAACTATGCTAGGTTCTTTTCTATATATGGCAATGACTGTCTTCTCTACAGCTGCCTAGCTTGGTCCTCTCATTGTATAGTTACCACCACACAGTTAGACAACTAGATTTCTGTGAAGGGAGGAGGGGTGGCAGTCCTGCCTCCTTTTCATGGACATGGATTTCATGAGCAGTTTGAGTTTGGCACTGGGAGAAATGGCCCACACCTGCCAGACTTGACTAGCTCGGGACATAGTGTTAAATACAAAGGTACTATTGAGCTAACCTGCCATCCCTACCTCATGGCCACCTAGAAGTTAGTGTACTGAAGAGCCAGAAAGGTTGGCACCTGTCCTTATAGTATGTGATAGTTTTAATTAGATATATGATCTCATTACTAACCAACCTGTTACTACTATTGTTCACTCTGATTTTTGTGATATATATATATATATATATTTTGTGTGTGTGTGTGTGTGTGTGTGTGTGTGTGTGTGTGTGGTGCTGGGAAAAATTCAGCAGATCCAGCCCCATTTGATTCTTCTCAAATGGTATCTTGATTTCTGCCAGAGATGAGAGCTCAGTACTACCTTGTTCCCCAGGTACTGGCATAGCACGGCCACCTATGCCATAGCCACAGAGGTGAGTGGAGGCCCGCAGTACCTGCCCCCTGCCAACCACCCTGTGTACCAGTGGCCAGGAGACCTGCTGAAGCCTGATCTGGTCCTGTTGCTCACGGTGAATCCTGAGGAGAGAGTGAAGAGACTGGAGGGCCGGGGCCTGGAGAAAACTAAAGAGGAGGCCGAGCTTGAGGCCAATAATGTCTTCCGTCAGAAGTAAGTGTCTCCAGGTGATGGGAGCCGTGGGAGTCCCCAGAGTCCCTGCGCCGGGATCACAACCGCTTTAGGATACAGAGTGAAGGACACGGTCCCTGGGCGTCAAGGACCGGTGCCCCCTAAGCTACCCCGGTCTCTGTCACCACGCTCGTTACCATCCGACTTCAGTGTGGCCACTTGAGAACAATGGGGTTTCTGTGTCAGAAATGGCCGACCTTTGATTAAAACCCAAAGTTTCAGGATTGGGACATCTCTGTATAAGCAAGAGGACCTGGGTTTGACCTTCAGCATCTATCTCAGTCAGGGTTCTATTGCTGTGAAGAGACACCATGACCACGGGAACTCTTCTAAAGGAAAGGCTTTCTTTGGGTCTGGCCTGCAGTTCCAGCGGTTTGGCCCATCGTCGTCATCAGGTCAGGGAGCATGGCAGCACACAGGCAGAGATGGTGCCGGAGAAGATGCCAAGAGTTCGATATTCTGGATTCCTAGGCAGCAGGGAGGGAGAGACATTGGGCCTATTGGGATTCTGATACTGCAAAGCCCCCCCCCAGGGACACTATTCCTCCAACAAGGCCACACCTCCTAATCCTTCTAACTAGTGCTACTCCCTAGTGACTAAGCATTCACATCTATGAGCCTGTGGGGCCATTCTTATTCAAACCACTACATTCCCCTCCATGGATCCCATAGGCTTGTAGCCATATCACAATGCAAAAAAAAAAAAATGCATTCAGTCCAACTTCAGAAGTCCCCATAGTCTATCACAGTCTCAACACTGATTCAAAGTCCACAGTTCAAAGTCTCTTCAGGGACTCATGGCATCTGTGCATGGGTCTCCAACTCTAGGATGACCTTTGGGGATGCGAAGTGGGCCTCAGCTGCCTTTTCTACCATGAGAACGAAGAAGGTCCCTCCCAGTTAACTCTGAGTATACACTGAGAAGAAAGGACCAGGATACGTGATTGGCAGGTAGTAGGTTGCCAGTCATGACATACCATGGCTGACTAATCCTTCACTGGATCTGTTTAGGGACAGTGATGGTCACCAGGGTGAATGAGACTGGGGTTTGCCCCAAGCCACATGACAAGTCAAGGAAGTGGCTTTTGCAGGATGAACTGTGTAGGAGAGGAAGCTGACCTTTCACCTTCTCTCTGTCTCCAGGGTGGAAGTGACCTACCAGCGTATGGAGAACCCCAGCTGCCACATGGTTGACGCCAGCCCCTCGAGAGAGACTGTCTTACAGAACGTTTTACAGCTGATCCGGAGCGCTGGTCATTCATTGTAGTTCCTCCGGCTGTGTGCCTCATCACACCCAAAGAGAAGTTGCCCGACGCGCCTGTCCCCAGCGCTTGTCTGCAGCTTCTTAGATTCGGGTGCTGTGAGCATACTAAGGGGGAGAAAACTGGAGAATTTTTGCTTTATCCCCGACAGACAAAACCAATCAGCAGCTGCTAATCCTTTTCTGCCTGACCACGTACCACCATCTTCTTGGAATAGACTTTAATACCGCGACCACCTAGAAAGGTCTTCTGATCCAGTGGGTGAGCATGCGGAGGTCTTCCTGCACCTGGAAGCTGAGGCTATTAGATGTGGCCCACACTGATCAATTGTGATGGGCTAGCCTCATTTCCTTTCAACCTAATTCCTATAGCTAAGCATTGTCACGGAGCCAGGCTGTCCCCGGATGTTCCCTTGGAGCCATTTATGGTTGGGGACACTTGCAGAGGAGTGATTGATCTTGCCTCAGAGGTTCAAAGAGCACCTTGGGCACCTGAATGAGCATTCAGACCTGCATAGACTTGCATCCCTAAGCTGCCGGCATGCCAACCCCTCTCGTTCTCCTTTGCTTGTCTGCATTCCAATTCTCTCCTTTGAAACCAGTCGTGAGTGTAATGAGCAGTCTGCACGGAGCTGGATGCGTTTCACTTACTCAACGCACTGATTTGTTTATATTGATGTTTACATAGTGTGTTTCCTCCGTGTAAGAGCCGTGAGTCACTCACCAAAACCGAGGCCAAGGAGCTAAATGCAGCATTTGCTGCGTGTTTTCATTACACAAATTTGATTTGTCTTAATAAACGCCGTGGATTCTGGAGTGAGATTTCAGAGTAAATTATCTTGCACTTTGAATGTCTTCTGATTACATGTGAAGCTGTGGCATCATCTTGAAGGGTTCCTTGGTGAGAGAAAGGAGCCGCGGAGGGGAGGAGTCCCGGTGGCTCTGTAGCCGTGGCTGAGGCATGGAACATCGATAGTGTTAACAGTTTGATCTGAAAGAGGACAGCTGGTGGGCATGGTGGCACAGCCCTCTAGTAATAATTACTTGGGAGGCTGAGAAGGGAAAATTGAAAGTTCAAGGCCTTCCTGAGCTACCGCCTATGTGCAGGGCTAGCCTGGACAAGGTCTCAAGAGGAAAAGTAAGAAGGGGACTGGGGGTGAAACTCCATAGCACAACCCTGCACCGAATATTCCATCCCTGGGTTCAGGCCCTGGGTTCCAGTCTCAGTACCATAAAAAAAATATAAGCAGAAAAACAAATAAATATGACTAAGCAATTAAATAATAAAAGGAATTAAGTAATTTTTTTGTCATAGGAGGTGGTTGGGTCAGATTATTATTTAACATTGCAATTTTGGTATGGATTCCTCTCTACATCGTTTTGGTCCCACATCCCATATCCCAGTTCATATGAAGAATTCATCCCCAAGAAATTATAGGGATAGCTTTATCAGCTTTCCCTTAATCTTAAATTATAATAATATTTATTATTAACATATCGATATTATGTTTTCATCTCTTTTGGAACTATGTAAAACTTATACATAATATGTCCATGTATATAAGTATGCTGCTGGCTTCAGTAGAACATATTTTTAAAGCTGGTAAATAGCATTAGGGCTCTCTAATGTGGCGGCCACTTCCACAAAATGTTTTGTTCAAGCCTTTCTGAGACAACTGTACCAGAAGCCTGGAAGAAGATCTTAATGTTCTCTTCATGAAACCTTCCAGGGAATAAATGTGCTGGGATTTCCCTAACCCAATCTGTCATTACGGTTGTGTGACATATTTGTCTGACTATCCCCATGCGAGTTTGTCTTTCCACAGTCTATGGTTCTTATGCACATAAGAAGGTAGAAGTGATGAGTTTGGAATCTGTCGTCAGTGAGCTTTGGTGGGGAAATGTTTGTTTCAAACATTATTTTCACATCATAAATATCAAAGGGAATAAAAAGAAATCCATACCCTAGACAAATGAGAGGTAGATGATTTACATTAGAAAACACAGTGGCTCCTACCAATGCCAACATGCATGGCTCTGCTCACGGCAAGGTGGGGGTGTGTTCTTATGGCAAGATTCCTTCTTTCATTCTTAATAATGAACGTTCAGCTTGGCACATGGCTGCTTAGACCACAGTGTTCAGGTCTGAGTTTCTCAGACACTTAGATGTGTCTGGCTGACTGGCTCTGCCAAAAGGAACATGAGGACTGTCTAGTGAATATGTTCCTTTTCTCCTTCTGTCCCCACTAGGACCAGGTAGTGACCAGGAGGTGATTCTACAGAGAGGGAACAGCAGGAGAGGTAGCTGTGCTGAGTGAGGTCTTTGCTGATTGAGGATACACAGAATGTCTCGTATACCTAAAGCATACCTCGCCATGGTTTGCTCCCCTGTATTCATACGCAACCACTTGCCTACTATGATGGTTAATATTGATAGCCAATGTGACAGTATCTGGAATCTCTGAGATACAGATATCAGGGCATATCTGTGGGGGGTTTATCTGAAGCAAGAAGACCCACACAGCCAGAATGAGAGATTCAAAAGACAATGTAAGCAGACATTTCCTGTCCCTACTGCCTGTTCCTAAATACCCAGCAGATGCTTCCCAAATTACTGCACAGAGTCTTAATATAAATTACAAATGCTTGGCTGATGTGGGAATCCCCTCTGTATGCTGTGAATATTATTGGTTAATAAAGAAACTGCCTTGGCCTATTGATAGGACAGAGTAAAACTAGGCCAGGAAAAGTAAATTAAATGCTGGGAGAAAGAAGGCAGAGTCAAAAGAAGCCATGTAGACCCCCCCCAAGACAGACACCAGGGACAGAACTTTATCAGGTAAGCCACAGATACATGACAATACACAGATGAATGGAGATGGGTTAGTTTAGAATATAAGAGTTAGCCAGAAATACACTTTAGTGATTGGCCAAGCAGTGATTTAAATAATATAGATTCTGTGAGATTATTTGGGGGCTCTCATTACACTTGGCCAATAGCTCAGGCTTATTACTAACTAGTGCTTACATATTAAATTAACCCATATTCCTTATTTATGCTCTGCCATGCTCTGTGGCAGTACCTTTATTAACACGGCACATTAATTTCCTGTTCCCTCTGCACCTAGCTGATGATTCCTGACTTTACCCTTCTGCTTCCCATCATCCTTAGTTTGGTCATCCTGCCTATACTTCCTGTCTGGCTACTGGGCAATCATTTTTTTATTAAACCAATTAGAGTGACAAATCTTTACAGTGTACAAGAGGATTATCCCACAGCAAGGCATCTTTCAGCAAAGCATGGAGACATAGGGAGAGTTGTAAGAGGGGATTTAAATCTGAGTTTACTCTTGGTTAAAAGACACCAACAGTCAGTGCTTTGATTTCTTTCTGGCACATTCTTGGTGACTTGGAGTTCATTATTAATGCAGTCAAACCAACTGCAAACAGGAAAAAAAGACCCTCCCCACAGTCTTTCAATTTTCTGATTGCAACCTTGTCTTTCATATCTTTGCATGGGATACCCAGATGATCCCCGGCTAGTTTCCATTTATCCTGTCCATTCTCGAAAGTCTTGCTATCGAACATCCTTTTAGAAACCTTTCAAGGCTTCCCAGGCCAAGCAAGGCCATTAGAGTGATTGCCAGCGGGTTCATCCAGGATGATTGGATTTTACTTTTGAAACTAAACTCTCCAAGCTGAGGATGTGAGTCAATCTGTAGAGAACTTGTCTAGCATGTAACCATCCCTGGGTACCACTTCCTAGGGCTGCATAAAGTGTTGCTGCATTGTAATGCGTGACTGTCATCCCATTCCTTTGGAGGTAGAAGGAAGAGAACCAGAAATTCAAAGGTGTGAACAACGTTCCTTAAAAGAAGATGTGTCTGGCTAGGAAACAAAAAATACCTGGAAGGAGTTTCTGCATCTGAAGACTGATTAGAATTGTGGAGAGATTGGAAATCTGTGGGTTCAGAGACTAATTCTTCATCTTGGGCTAGTTTTGGCCTCTGGAACAGCCATGCTTTGCCTCACTCTGTATCTGAACTAACACCTCATCATAAGAAATAAAACCCTCTTTGAGGGCATCAACTTAGCAGAACGCTAGCTTCTACCTAACCAAGAGCCGAGAATGCTACCACATAGCATCTTGAGCCTATAAAAAAGTTTCTCTCCTTATACATTCTTCGATCAAGGGGCATTTAGGTTGTTTTCAGGTTCTGGCTATGATAAATAATGCTGCTATGAACACAGTCGAGCACATGTCCTTGTGGTATGACTGGGCATCCTTTGGATATATACCCAAAAGTGATATTGCTGGGTCTTGAGGAAGGTTGTTTCCTAATTTAGTAAGAAATCGCCATACTGATATCCAAAGCAGCTGTGCCAGTTTGCACTCCCACCAGCAATCGAGGAGTGTTCCCTTTACCCCACATCCTCTCCAGCATAAGCACAAGATCATCAGTGTTTTTGATCTTGGCCATTCTTATGGGTGGAAGATGGAAGTTGTTTTTATTTGTATTTCTCTAATGGCTACCTTTATACAAGGAAGTACTACACAGTGGGAAAAACAATGACATCTTGAAATTAGGGGACAAATGGATGGATCTAGAAAACATCATATTGAGTGAGGTAACCCAGACCCAGAAAGACAGATATCACATATACTCATAACTGGCTTTTAGACATAAAGTAAAGAAAAATCAGCCTATAATTCACAATCCCAGAGAACCTAGACAACAAAGATGACTCTAAGAGAGACATACATGGATCTAATCTACATGGGAAGTAAAAAAAAAGACAAGATCTCCTGAGTAAATTGGGAGCATGGGGGCAAAGGGAGATGATAGAAGGGGAGGGGAGAGAAAGGGAAGGGAGCAGAGAAAAATGTAGAGCTCAATAAAAACAATTTTTAAAAAAAGTTTCTCTCATTTCCCTCTCTCACCAGTGTATTTTAACCTCACCTTTATTTATGACTTTCTTTGTTCTGTTCATTACAAAAACCCTGTGAAACCACGTCCACATAGGAACATGGAATTTGGAGTAACTTAACTCTGTGTCCCCATGACATGGTCATTCACAATGACTTCAGAATAAATTATCACTCTGGTGCCCTCTTCTGGCCTGCAGGCATACACACAGACAGAATATTGTATACATAATAAATAAATAAATAAATATTTTAAAAAACTATCACTCATTTTCTTTAAGGTGAGAACTGTGACTTTTATGTCAACAAAGGTCATTCTGACTACATAGCAGGTTCTGTGCCAGCCCTGTCTGTGTACATGAGACTGTGTCTCAAAATGAATAAATGAATGAATACACAGCTTTCTGCATGGCGATTACCAGGCCACTGCCACTAATTGTGACCTACTCACTGATGCCATCTTTGTCATGCCCTTTCAGTGGGAAGACAGGACCCAAACTCAGGTGGGTAGCTGCCTTCTTCAGGATGATCCTCCTGTAATGGGCGGAGATTTGTGAGAAGGTGTTGCAGGAGGTCCTTCCGCCCCTCCAACCATTAGCTGCTGTTGGCCCATTGGGGCGTGGTCTCTCAGCAGCTATTGGTTGGAGAGGCGGAAGGACCTCCCGCAACAAGATAAACCCAGGCAGAAGTAAATGGCTTGGTTTAGGATGTCCACTAAAATCCCAGAGAGGTAAACACAGAGGACCTCTTCAAGGAGACACTTGGAAAGCTGAGCTGAAACTCCCCTCCCCCGAGTCCTCTGGAGGGCACAGTCCTGTTTTCCAGAGTGTTAGGCTCTGCCCAGCCACTATGGCTTGTAGGCCACACTTGTGCGCTCGCGATTTGCATA